ACCCCTACTGCAGAACAACTTAACAATGAATCTGCCAATCGGGAGACAAAATGTCAAAATTTATTTTGTACGTTAACATTTTTGTTTATACATCAGCTTCAGATGACCATTCTTTAATTTGTAATGACTATATATATATATATATATATATATATATATATATATATATATATATATATATATATATATATATATATATATATATATAGCTTCTTTGGGTACTTATAATGTAAAATAATGAAAAAAATTTCTCGAACTCAAATTTTGTGAACCAGGGGGGGGTGTCTTTTCCAACAAACTAAAAATGGCTCGCGCACAAAATTTAAAAGCTGCAATCATATTTTGAGTTAACAGATGGAAAATTTGTCGGGATTTTAATTACTGTACAAAATTTCAGACAATTTGATTTAGTTTAAGCCCCTTAACAATTCACGCAAAGTTACAATTTTCCCGAAAAATCAGCTATTTGCATGCTTAATTAATGCATTTGCCTAATTTGCATATGTCAGCAATATGCAAATTAGGTAAAGGCATTAATTAAGCATGTGAAAGGCTGACTTTTTAGAACAAAATGAATAGTTAAAGGGCTTAAACTATAGAATGTCTGAAATTAGCGTATATATATATATATATAATAAAAAAGAAATTGTGAGCATTATTTTATACAATTGTGTATTCCAATGTGGGCATCATACATTCACACTGCTTAATTAGTTGTCATCGCCCAGGAAAATAAAACATTTTGCAAATGGCCACTATCGAAATTGTCCCAGGTCATGCCTATAAAGACTGCATTTCTCGCAGGCATCAAGCCTTGAGACTTCATTATGCATAAGTTATTTGATATACAGTAAAGCCCCATCAGTAGGCCGTAAGAACCACTATAGCCTAAAATTTTGGCAATTAAGCACCCAAAACACTAGTTTCTAAAAACTTTTTAAGTTTGGATATATTTCACAACAACCATATTAGTGTCATAGCAATAGTTTTATGCAACAGCAGTTCCTATTTAATATGTACAACATAAAAAAGTTTAGTGTGAAGCAAGTCAATATTCACTGAACTTTTATGCGTGGCTTTAATATATATCATAATCATTTTACTGTATTATATAACTATTTTTTAATATTGGCAATTTTCTGATTGACATACAACCTATATATATTTGTAAACTTTGATATGCAAGACCTTGTTGGCTTCATGTTTTGACAGAAATATGTATGGGAGATCACACTTCGCATGAATTATAGCGAGTTCACATATCGCTAGCAAGTTTGGTACAGGTACAGGTACAGGTACAGGTACAGGTACAGCGAGTCCACAGTTCACTGCTTTTTTGAAAAACATAATATGAACGGCCCCTTTTGATTTGATTTGACCAAAAGATCCCCACGAACACACACCAAAATTAGCAAAATTTAGTCGTCGTAAAAAGTATGGATACTTTTTCGAAAATTTCTTGTCAACTTGCCAGGAACTATTCAGGAAAGAACCTTGCAAACAGGCGTTCAGAAAGAAAGCGGAAGTTATTGTGGAATTCGAATCATAATATTGAATCCGAAAATCTCGAATACTTCTCCACATAACTCGCGGAAAGACTGCGACCGGCAAAATTAGTCTACTTAAAACAACTTAAAATATCAATCATTCAACAACTTAAAATATCTTGGGAATATCAGTCATTATCATTCAACAACTTAAATATCTCGGGAACAAACCATGAAAACAAGCAACTGAAAAATAAGTTACACTACAGCTTAAGGTAGCTCCATACCCTTTTTAGTATCAGGGGGGAACGACTGGTACCCAATCTTGAGATTTCGCGCAACAAATACAACTTTTTAAGTCTAAAATCCGAACCACAACTCATGTTTATTTTGATGTTTTCAGTCTACCTTGTTCTCATTTTTTGTTAAAGAACAACCGTCGTCCTGATATTGCCCTGAACATTGAATAACTAGTCTTTTAGAAGACATTTTAAGGTTAAAAAATGCAACAAAGGTGAATTTCGCTTTAGACCAATCAGAGCATTTGTTTACATTTTGGCGCTAAGCCAATCAGAACGCGTACATTGTTACTACTTCCGGTTTAGACGCGTATTTCATCACGAAAATTACGGTTGTAAATAAAGCTTGGGGGGGGGCTGGTTATTTAATTTTTTGGACTTATAATTTCAATGAAACGGCTAGAAATTTCATACCTTCGATTCAGTGCATGCTATGAAGACAGAAATACTACCATTCGATTCAGAAATAAAATATCAAATAGTTCCAAACGATAGTTATAGTCATTATTAGTATTGTAACGATTTATGGGCCTTTGAAAATCAAAACGATCATATTGTATCAAATTACGCAATTGTCTGAACAAAAATATAGACTAGCCATACCTTTCGCTAAAAATAACTTCGGCCCCATCGAACATATCGTCTTTGTCCCCGAGCCGGCGGCGCGAAGCGCCGTGCGAGGGAACTAGTTCCCCCCGGCTATTTACACCCGGGGAAACGAAAGCATTAGCGAAGTCTAAAGTTCATCAATGAGCGCGGGCGTCGGTCACCAACGATGGGTGGTCATCCTCACTGAACTCAAAAATATGGCGGACTGTCATGAATAACGGACACTGTTTGGTACAATCTAAAGTTTGCATTATAACGGCTGCATGACGACAGCGAAATAGCAAACATTTCTTGATTTGATGAGTTGATAAATTTCTTGCAAATATTCTTCATTATTGCTCGTATTTCTGCAAGATTTTGTAAATTTCAAGAAAGAAAGGGCGAAAGAATCAGCTAAAAGAAGGGAGCCGACGTTAACGAAGGTAAGTTTGTTTTAAATATTGATTTTATAATGGCTTTAAAACCCGACGGCCTTTGCGTATATGAAACAACTGAACAAGACAGCGTATAATTTCAGTGTATCTTTAATATTGATTCCCTTTTTTATTATATTGAATTTTTTAAATAAAAAATAAAGCAAAGTTATTTGCAAGCGAGAATTTGAAATCATTTTATTGCAAACTCAAAGTTTATCGATAAAGCCATTTAATAGTTAACTGAGGCAGTTTAGTTTTATAAAGAACACTTTAAAACGTTTTGTGAATTGTTTGTGGTTGAATTTTACCTTAAATTGAAGCTTGTATTACGTATAATTACATACCTAACATAAATATGTTGGGAAATTGATAAATTTGTAATTAAAAGTGATATATTTTTAGGCGATTTTCATTTGTAAGAATATTCTTAAAAAATTATCGTGTTACCATGACAACTACTTTAGATACTTCATGTTCGGAAAATACAACGGTTTTATCAGCAAGGCGAGGGTTTCTGCATGCATGTATTTTCTAGTAATAGTCTTGTTCGAATCCCCGTCAAAAACACTATTTAGAGTGTTATTTGCAAGCATGTATCTTGAAATCTTTATCTTTTATCAATATATTTCCAGTTCTTGTCCGACTGTGAGCTCGAAGTGAGTTAATCCCAACCGGAAATACGACTGAAAACCGTCAAAACAATGCGAAGCTTTTATCATATGACCCTGGAAAGGCCAGAAATGGTTCGCAAGGTCAAATTGCACCTACACGCGTGCGTTTGACGTCATCCCGGCCACAGGAGCTTTTTATTGGCCAATTATTGCGCAATGTACGCAAGTTCGAGTAAAACCCGGCATCTTGAAAAATTCAAAATAAATATTTCTACTCGCCGTATTCAAACGAAATTTTGTACACGAAAGCGCTTGAATACAGAGAGTATTTTACACGTATAGCCGTTCAGCAATTGACGAAAAGTTCAAGAGATATTCAAGATTTGGTGGATATAAAATTTGGAATCTTTGGCCAAGCGGTGAGTAAATATATGATTGTTTCGGTTTGTGTAATGTTTTGACGGCACTTGACCCCCCGTTCGAAAGGTTATATTGTGAGGATTTCAATGGTGGCATTTATTTAAAATACTCGCCGAGATATTTATGTTAGAAAAATTGAATCGAAATATAATGCGAAACCGGCCTGTCAGGAAAGAGTTCCTATAAAATATAAAATTTTCGAAAAATTTGCCGCTGGGATTTGCGTTTCATCGCTTAGTTTTGAAATTATCCGCATTCAAAAAACGACGTATGCAAGGTCACTCTCGAATAGGTCAAACACGTGTTATGATTTTAAAGAAAGTGTAGGAAATATCCGGAAATATTTAACAGTGGCTCGGGGCATTTGAGAAAGAAGGCATTTTCATTGCGATTTTGGAGTTAGATTTTCTGTCAATCGGTCGCTACACCACTATAATTTTGCCAGCAGTGACCATATAGAGGCCTACTCTGGGACCTTAACTCGCCGCGAGAGAAGGCGAGCCTATGCGAGTTAAGGCGAGATAGGGCGAGTTAAGGAAAAATCTGGCAACTGACCCCTGCGAGTTAAGGCGAGATAAGGCGAGTTAAGGAAAAATCTGGATATTGTATACACACTATGTATTTTTCTTTGTTTGTGCATTATGCAAAGCAAGTATGCAGTACTTGAAGTACCAGGCCTAGAAAAGTGTCTAGGATTATATTTCCTTGTGATAATTTCGTCTCCAGATGATGTTTTAGCTTACGGCAAGTTTAGATGGTAGTTCCAATCAATAGCAGCTAATTGCTTTCTGGCCCTGTATGTTGGGTATCTACAAGTAGGAAGCAATATTTAAAAAACACCCTTTCGATATCATAGGTTGTAGGTGGAATGTATAAAATGTATTACCATATACAACCTAATTGAAACTAACCTAAAAGGCATTCGTTTTGGTGTGTATACCAAGCTAAGACTGTTGGCACATTCAATGCCACCAGTATGCCTGCAAATGAACAAAGCACAAATTTTTAAATAACATTTACACAAACACGCAAAAGATAAACACTGTGCACAAAACAAATGCAAGACATGAAGTGATTATTTACCTGAAACGAGTGTAATACTTCAAACTGCTAAGTAATTCCGGGTTCAAGATAACTTTTTGAAGCTGGATGTAATCCTCATCTCGCCGGTCAAACCAGGGTAACGATTCATCATGATCACCAATGTCATGGTCGCACTTGCCTCCTACCCACTCGTGCACGTTACATATGTGGTGCAGCAATCCAATCCACATATCCTGAATATGTAAATATAAGTATAGGTAATCATGCGATGGCTAGTACAATTAGGGATTAACAGAATGAGTGATGTTTGGAAACAATATGGTGGTATAGTTTTCAGTAATTTAATAACTAATGACTTTGACATTTTAGCCACTACTGGGACATATAATTATAAGAAAAAAAATAATAATACCTTCATGGTTTTTAATGCTTCTTCATCGGTCGTTGTTTCGTCCTTTCGGCAGGCACTGGAACAATACCAGAAGTGTCTTACTATATGGGCTGACCAATCGTTAATCTTTTTCATTTTTTTTGGCTTACCCAACTTGTATATACATAGAAGAGTAAAAACATGTTTAGAACTAGATTGCACTGATGTAGTATAATCTAATATGTGTATAGGCCTAAGGCAATACGGTATTTATTTATATATATATATATATATATATATATATATATATATATATATATATATATATATATATATATATGCCTAACACAATGAGTGGCAGCACTCTCACCCTGGTGGTCATCTGGTGTTAAACAGTAAAATAATCAGGCGTTAGACAGAGTAAAATAATAAAGTGGGTGCACCTAGGCGCATTGCCACTTAAAGGTTGACATATGGTGCATTTTAGGCAGATAGTCAACCCATTAAGCGGCAGCACTCTTCCCTTGATGAGTAAAATCTCCTGGCAATTTACAATATTAAACCATTTGTACAAACAGTGGGGGTGGTAAACTTTCAAGTGTTGTATGAGGGGTCTTCAACTTTGCGATCATCAAAGGGGGGAGGGATACAAGATTTTTGTACATGACATAAGAATCTCCCACCCCACCCTAGGGTATAAATAATGAACAGTCCCTAACTCATACACACAACAAAAACAAAAGTGTGCTAATTACACACCTTTGTAAGGCACTTCTTTATACTTTTAGATTTGTGCCACACATCCAGACTGTGAACAATACCTTCAAACTGAGATTCTGAAATAAACAATATTCAAATTTTATTGGTCTAAAATAGCTACTACATGTATACTATGTGATCTCAAATCTGCTTTTTGGGTGTAAAAGATAGTCGCTGTTTCATCATGTTTAACCTATTAAGCTGCCCTTCAACAAGTAAGATTGTCTGGCGCTAGATCGAATAAAAGGTTAAAGTCAGGCACATCATTGCTCAAAGGGTTAAAAAGATTATATTGGCAAATAGATTTGTTAACCCATTAAGCCGCAAGACTTTCCGCTTGATGAGTAAATAATCTGGCGCTAGACAGAGTAAAGAGGTAAAGTCGGATGTAGGCTATCGCAGCTAAATGTTCTTATATGGATAGTAATCGTAATATTTACAAACCTAGTAAAGCTTTAATGGAAGAGGAAGCATCCGTCACAAACTCGACAACCCTTACATTGTCATTCTTTAGCTTATCCAATCCTTGTTTCACCGCTTTTCTTTCCATATTGGTGGAGATTAAGCCAACATGTCTCTTATCCAAAATTTCAATGCCAATTATATAATTTGTGCTGTTTTCTACCATGAAATAACAAAGATTCTTGGCATTGAAACCTGGGGAGTCACATTGGCCATCCCCACCAACAACAATATCTTTTCCTGCAAATTCATCCAGAATTTCCTTCCTCATCCATGACCACCATTCATTCACTTCAGGAATTAG